TCCCCCCCCCCCCCCCCCCCCAGATCTTTTTACTTGGTCTAGAGACACGAAGCAATTTGATTGGCCTATCTCCGTCGGAGACATATCCGGATAGATACTGCAACAAGAAAGGCATGCTATGAACTTAAAACTAACGATGTCTGTCACAGAATATGTCCCTAAGACATGTTTTTCACCCTCATAATATTAATAAGAAGTCGAGCTGTTCACAGCCAACTTCTCGTGGCCTAGAGGTTAAGGTGTTCGCCTCTCATTCAATAGGTCCCGGGTTCAAATCCGGATGGCGACGGAAATTTTTCTTTTCTAAAGTCGCCCCCATTTCACCTACTTTCTTGCTATCTAGCTCTGTCGTCTGCTTTCAACCCCACTTTCTGCCGCACCCCCCTCCCTCACCCCCTTTGCCCCCTCCTCGCTGGGCTCCTGACTCTTTCAGCAGCCTTTCTACTGCGACTCCTTGGCTCCTCTTCTTACTTCTGTCTTTCAGCCGCACTCTTGATCTTATGGTTGGAAAGATCTACACCTAGCCTTCTCGGGCAAGGGCGAAAAATCTCGGAGGTCCCGTGTGAAAGTTGCGCACGTTAAAGATCCCTTGATAGTCCAAAGTCGATAAGAGTAGTCTTCGCCAGCCATCCGGGCAAAATTCAAAATTTCCTCCCAAATGAAAATGTTGTCCCGTGCTCTCATATGACCTCATGCAGATGCAAGCGCCGTTAAACACTTACCCTCCCCCCCCCCCAAAAAAAAAGAGTCAAACTCGGCTGCTGCTCTTCCTCCTCTTCCTGCTCCAACTGCCAGAACTACAATATCTTTCGCTTGCCATGCTGTTAAAACATACAGCTCATCAAGAATAACATTATAAACAATCACTCATATTCATAATATTCTATCTATCTATCTATCTATCTCTCTCTCTCTCCATCTCCCCCCCCCCTGTCTCTCTCTCTCTCTCTCTCCCTCTCTCTCTCTCTCTCTCTCTCTCTCTCACACACACACACACACACACACACACACGCGCGCATACAGACACACACACAAATATACACACACGCACACACATACACACATATATATATACGCGCACACACTTATGTAGACCCTTCCACCTACCCCCTACCCCCCTACCCCCCTACCCACCCCCACCCACCCATACACACACACACACTCATGCACATACACTCACAAAACCCGCATGCACAGCTACGCAGAACAACTTACACTCTCCTACTTACCTATTTCTGACCATAAACTCGTGAGTATCCGACTGTAGGCCTATCACCTAATTAGGAACAAAAGAAAAAATATTAATGTATCTATCTATCTATCTATCTATCTATCTATCTATCTATCTATCTATCTATCTATCTATCTATCTATCTATCTATCTATCTATCTATCTATAGGCAAAAAGAAGTTGTTTACCTACAAAAATATAAAACAAGATGAGCTTAGTGAAAAATGTACCTTTAATTTTAAGAGCTAAGTGACCATAAATATAGGTCATGCCAGAAATTAATAGAAAATAAATAAGACCATGGGATTGAGCACAGCAAACAAACGAACAAGAAAACAAACAAACAAAAAAGCAAACAAACAAACAATAAAGATAGCAAGCAAACAAACAAACAAACAAACAAACAATCAGGCAAAACTAACTGTTTTTAAGAAGAATAACAAACCGGTAGCGAAATGACCACCGTCTCTTTAGGCTGACTCTCCCGAATGTTGACGTCATAAGTAATCACTGTTGCAATTTGACCTGGAGTTGTCTCAGCCACTCTGACCACTAGAGGAACGCTTGAACATCGCCTGGTGTAGGGAGGGGGAGCGAAAAAGAAATGAGAGATTTACAAATGTCGCTGAGACAAAGGAAGGGAGAGAGAGAGAGAGAGAGAGAGAGAGAGAGAGAGAGAGAGAGAGAGAGAGAGAGAGAGAGAGAGAGAGAGAGATTGTGTATTTGAGTGTTTGTGTGTGTGTGTATGCGTAAGCGTGTGTAGGTGTGTTTATGTCTGAGTGTATAAGTGTACGTGTATGTGTGTATACGTTTGTGTGTATGTGAGAAGTGTGTGTGTGTGTGTGTGTGTGTGTGTGTGTGTGTGTGTGTGTGTGTGTGTGTGTGTGTGTGTGTGTGTGTGTGTGTGTGTGTGTGTTGTGTGTGTGTAGTATGTGTGTGTAGTATGTGTGTGTTTTCAGTGTAAGTGTAATATTGTGACCTGGAGTGGTCTCAGAGACTGTGACCACCAGAGGACCGCTTGAACATCGCCTGGTGTCGAGAGATTGACCGAAAGTGAAAGTAGAGATGTATACAGGGTGTCCAAAAAGTCGCGCACCATCCTGAAACACACGTATTGTTACAGATGCTCAAACTGAGCACCATTTTCATCTTTTATCATTTAAGGGGTGGGGGAATGCTTTACTCTGACAGTTTCTCTTACATCCAATCATGTTCTACCTTGTAGCTATATCCTCCGGGTTGTCGCAGCCTCTTGCCAGATAGACGCACACATGTCCCGGCGTCATTGTGCCAGATGCCGTGACTTTCCCTGTTGTGGGGTCGACCTTGACCTTTGAACAATCTGGGTCATTGTTCACAGAGGTCAAGTTGTACGTGACCTCAGCGTTGCGACCTTTGTCTGAATCAGTTGCATTGACCTGAAGAAATATTAATTAGCCTACTTAGATTAAGACAGGGAGCAGGAAATGTTAAGTGGTTTTAAAAATAATTATGATTATGCTTGCACTCATCAGAGACATTCTAACTATAAAAAAATCGTGGCACAACTTATCCTCAAATATCTCTTTAACGGGTGAATCAGTGTCATCCATACTTTGCACAGCAGTTTTTATCAATTTGTCTTAACTAAATCATATATTTCCAGAACATTTCTATTAAAAGCAACATTGCCCCAGCTGAAAACATTAACATTTTTTTAAAATCTGTAGAAATCACAAACTTGGATTTTTTAATTAGTATCTATTAAGGAATTTTCTAAAATAGGCCTACAGCTTGCAGGTGTTTACAAAAATGTTGATCTGTTAAGAGAAATTGATACCAGTCATAGTGCAAAAATTGGAGAACATAATGGTCTATAGTTGAGGAGATATTGACAATAAGTTGCGCCACGAACTTTAGACCGCACTATAATAGATTGGTCCTTAAGGGGAGACGTACACTCCAGGAAAAATTTTCTAAACGAATGACTTTTATTCAATTTAAAGTAATTGTGCAAGAAGTTCATAGGTAAATAGGATGTACTAGAGGTGAATTTGTTGAATTTTTCTAAAAAATGGGTCTCTGTGGTGGCCATCTTGGATTTTCAGACCAGTTTCTTAGTGCAGAAGAATTTCATAGTAAATATTGAATTATCAGCCTAAAATTTGGCACACAAATACAAACCTATATGAACTGGGGATTTATGAAAGGATTTTGACCTATCTTTAAAACTAAAAAAGAGAGCCCAAAGTCAGTGGACCCCCTAGAGTCAGTTGACGAAATTTCGGGGGTACATATTACCAAAAAAATTGAATATTTCCTTAAGTTACCAATATTTCCCAATTCCCTTTCATAGATCCATAGAATTGATCTTAAAGCACCTGTACACCAAATTTGAAGCTTCTAGCTTCTGTAGTTTTTGAAAACTCCTTGCACCCAGGAGGTCACATAATATGTCAAAAAGTAGATTTTGAGAAAAACAGAAAAACAGGGATTTTTAAAAGGATTTTTAAAGCAATTTGCACTTTTCAAACGCCCTTTCAGGTCATTTAGGGTGTTTTTTCAACAGTTTCTTCATTTTGACTCGATAGAACAGATGTCAAAGGATGTTTTTCCGCAAAAAACAAAAGTTGGATAGTTTGAAAAATTGTATCGATATTGCCTTGGATCGCCGACCCGGGTCTTCCCTTAAATGAATCCCCATACCGTTGGTATTACCTGGTTTGACATGACGTCTTTGTTTGTGTGCTGGTCTGTTTGTCTGTCAGTTCGACTCTCTCTCTCTCTCTCTATCTCCTCCTCCTCCTCCTCATCCCCTCTCTCTCTCTCTCTCTTTCTATCTATCTATCTATCTATCTATCTATCTATCTATCTATCTATCTATCTATCTATCTATCTATCTATCTATCTATCTATCTCTATTCATCTATCTATCTATCTCTGTCTCTCTTTTATCTCTTTTTTCATGCCTCTGGCTCTCTCTATATTCATCTCTTTCTCTCTCTCACATATGTAGAAACACACACACACACACACACACACACACACACACACACACACACACACACACACACACACACACACACACATACACACGGAGAGAGAAAAGGGGGGGGGGGTGAGAGAGACAGAGGCAGAGACAGAGACAGAGACAGAGACAGAGACAGAGACAGAGACAGACAGAGAGAGAGAGGGAGAGAGAGAGAGAGAGAGAGAGAGAGAGAGAGAGAGAGAGAGAGAGAGAGAGAGGGGGGGGAGACGCATGCCGCATTCCGATTCTATACCCCAAACCCCTCCCCAGTCCTTTACAACCCAAACCCCTTTTATGAAAACCTTTCTACCCCTCCATCCCACCCCATCCGGTTTTTTCAGTAGCAAAAAGCCAAATAAAAACTAAACTGGCATCAAATAGTCAACGCATATTATATGTGAGACATCGAGATGAAATCAGGCGCTCGTCAAAGTAATGCAATCCAAGAAACTGGTGGCATTTTTCTGCCCGGTTTGTTTTAGTAAGAGTTGTACGGCGCTTGCAACACAATAAGGTCATATAAATGCCGAAGGTTAGAGAAGTTACAAGAGAGTAACAACGAATAATAAAAGAAGGAGGAGAGTTCAGGACGATAGATAATTAATAGGAAAGAAGGAGCAAACCACACCAGAGCACCCGCCAACCACCCACATTAGTAAGGTTTTACGGTGCTCGCAACCGCATAAGGTCATACAAGCGCCAAATGTACATTAAATAAGTAAAAAACATTTCTGAGTACATTTTTACAGAAAATCATTGATGAACAAAACTGTAAATTTTCACTTTCCAAAGACTCTCAGGCTAGGGAAGTCACCAAACTTTGGCGACCATTTTCTCGCTAATTTTACCCCTGAAACCAGGCGACCCCCCCCCCCTTCTCCTTTAATCGCAAATATTTGAACTTCTCTTCATGATAAAAGGATATTTTTTCCGTCTCAAGCAAAATAAATGAATAAGCTGTCTAATTCATCAATAACTCCACTTGTCCAAAAACTGACGAGCACCTGATTCCACCGCGTCGTGACACACAGAGCATGCTATAGAGGGTGGACATGCGTTATAAAAATGAAATGATCATCATAAGGATTATTTTAAAAAATTATTATCATTATCATTGTCATGCATTATCATTATTATTACTATTATTATTGTTATTATGATTACTATTGTAAGTATTATTATTACTATTTTAATCATTATTATTATCATTATCATTATTATTATTATTATAATATTATTATTATTATTATTATTATTATTATTATTATTATTACTATTATTATTATTATCATCATCATCATCATCCGGGAATAAAAAAAGGGTTTGAGACTTAGTAGATTTTTCAAATTTAATATAAGTTCAATGTTTCGCCCTGTAAAGGGCTTCTTCAGGAACATGTACAAAAATATATATCATCATCATCATTATCATCATCAACGTCATCATCATCATCATCATCAACATCATCACCATCATCATCATCATCATCATCATCATCACTATTGTTATTGTTATTGTTATTATTATTGTTATTATTATTATTATTATTATCATCGTTATTATTGTTATTATTATTATTATTATTATTATTATTATTATTATTATTATTATTATTATCATCATTTTTCACCATATTATTGCCACTTTTTTATTGTTTCAGTATTAACAATATCTCAACCTGTCCAAGATCCAAGGTTCCGTTATTCATGGCGCCGAATTCATATCGAGGTTGAATGAATACTGGAGCGTTCAGGTTTGCATCTTTCACGGTGACGGACACATGCAGAGTACAGTTCACGCTGTCGTCACAGGCGGGACTGTCCGGGGCGGGGGCTTCCTTCTCTCGTGCCTCCACCTGTGGAAATCATTTGAGAGGCATTGTGGTGAAATCAGGCGCTCGTCAAAATAATGAAATCGGGGGGTATTAGCATTTTTTTTTCGGTTTGGCAATTTTTGTAGAATTTTTGTTTTTTGTTCAACATTTTTGTCTTTTAAAAAATACATTTATGTGTGGATTTTCCTGAAAAACGTTGACTAAAAGCACAAAAACATAAATTTTCAGTTTCCAACGACTCTCAAGCTTTGATTAATCACCAAACTTTGGCAGCCAGTTTCTCGCTAATTTTAACTCTGACACCAAGCTACCCCGACCCCCTTCAGTTGCAAATATCTCTACTTCTATTCAAGATAAAAGAGTATTTTTTCCTTCAAAAGACAGACAAATGAACACGTTTTAAGATAAGACCAATAGCTCTACATGCCCAAAATTTGACGAGCACCTGATTCCACCACGTCGTGACACATTTTTAAAAGTGATTTTTTTTTTCATACTTTAGAGACTTCAAACTAATACCAACCCTTCTGATGTTGAAGACCGATGTTGTTTAATTCAAGCGTTTAAGCATCACACTCACAATCAAAATTGCTTTTTGCTAATGGTTATCTTCTCCAAGGTTTGATTTTTACCTTGGAGCACTTTTGAATTAAGACACTGTACGAAATCAGTTTATGTCATTTATTTAAGACACGTCGTGTCTGATTAATATTTCAATATGCTGAACTTCGCAATCATACTGCTACACTATAGATGCCAGTGTCCTAACCTGTGTTTGGTGGGGTGTCACTTATTTTATTTTTAAGAAAAACTGAAAGATGCAACGAAACCGCCTGGACCAGTGTCTTGTAGTGCAGCGAATAGGCGTTTCGCGGAGTTCTCCGGTGGGAGAAATTTTATCGAGTATTTTGATAATTCTTCTTGGGACGTTGTATCCCTCTCAACCCGGGTTGGCCCCGACAGGCAGGGTCTAGCCCCTATCCCAACTGATCTAAATCATGTCGATAGGGGTGTAAAAACACCTCATCAAGTGCAAGATCTGCCGCAGACATCGACGATCATGGTTCTCCGTTCAATCCTTTGCTCGGATGCTCTAAAAAAAAGCTCCATTATCCTGATATTTCCACGTCATCGATCTGTTTAAACTCCCTAAGTAAGTGTCTTTGAGTCTATCCCTACTTTGCCTTGCTTTCAATTATTTTGCTAGTGAGAGCTTGGTGTTCTCATGACACTTATGTCTATTCAATTGTTCAAGAAACTGCATTAAAATTTAGCTTTTCCTGATTGTTTTTCATCAGCGAGTGGCCCATGTGTGCTTCTTTGATGCCTTCATTAAGAAAATACGAGGCATCCTGATGAAATTGAATGAAATCGAAGAAATCGGCATTTTTTCGCTGGTCCGGCAATTTTGATCAAAGTTTTGCTTTTGGAGGGGATCAACACCCTTTATGCCTTTTAAAAAATAAATTTCTCTTTGGACTTTACTGAAAAGCATAGACCAAAGGCACACATAGAGTACATTTGCAGTTTTCAAGGACACTCAAGCTTTGAAGGTCACCCAACTTTGGTGGCCATTTCCTCGCTAATTTCACCTCTGACACCGGGCGACACCCACCTCCTCCAATCACAATTATGTCGACTTCTATTCAAGATAGATGGGTATTTTTTTCCCACCAGAAGCAGGGTAAGACAAACAAACAAGCTTTAAGATAATACCAACAACCCCACATGCTCCAAAATTGACGAACGCCTGATTCCACCGCGTCGTGAACACAAATAAAAATAATAATAATAACAATTACTGTAAAAAGAAACGGCTCGCGTCCTCTCACCTGCACCATCAAGACGTCATGTCCCCGGAGTGATGACGTTTCGTTCACTATTAGCCAGGTGTTCCCGTCTACGTCACGCTCCAGGCCAAAAGCTCCATTTAAGTTGTCGGCCAAGACGTAATATAGCTCTGCGTTCTTTCCCTGAAAAAGAAGGGGGCTATGACATGACGTAATCAAACTCTGTGTTCCTTCCTGAAAAGAAGGGAGCTATGACGCGTAATCTAACTTTAAATTCTCCCAGAGACTCTTGAATATATGGATAGTCTCTGATTCTCCCCATGAAAAAAGTGGGCTATGACGTGATCTTACTCTGCTTTCCTTTCTGAAAAAGAAGGGGGCTATGACTTAATCAAACCAGAGACTATACTCTCTGATCTAACTTTGCTTTCTCTCCCTGGAAAAAGAAGGCATCTATGACATAATCTAACTCTGCTTTCCTTCCTAAAATTGAAGGGAGCTGTAATGTTTGTGTCTGATGTAAAAATGGGAATGAACTATGTTGCGAATGCTGAAAGAACGATTCTTTAATATCACAATTGTTTCCCCTCCTTGATACGTCACACATTGTCTCGTTTTGAATACACACTAGATTTCAGTGTCAACTAAACTCAATAAAAATCAGTTCACAGGCAGGCAGGCAAGAGAACGATTGTGTTTTGTCTTTCTTTCAAGTATTAATCTTTTTATAATGTGAGGCCATATGTAGCCGTCACAGGAGCTATGACGCAATCTAATTTTTGCCTTCTCCCCCTGAAAAAGAAGGGGGCTATGACGGAATCTAACTTTGCGTTCTCTCCCCGGAAAAAGAAGTTATAATGATTATGCAATTCATTATAATTGAGTTCAAGAACATCCAATCAAGGATTCGAACAACGACTGTTGGATCCGTAGTCCAGCTTGATAACAACCTGAGCTAACGATGAACTTTACGTGACGTTGATGTATTAATACAACGTGTGCATAAATTATATTGAGCTTTCCACTGTAAACAAAACTTACTAACGCGGATACAAAGCTTAGTTTTTCGGGGGGAGGGGGGGGGGGTGATTTAAGCATCTTTATAATATTATTATGCATTTTTATTTTCGTTTGTTTTTGGTAAGTGTTTTACGGCGCTCACAACTGCATAAGGTCATATGAGCGCGTTTTCCTCTATTTTTGTAAAGAAATATTTTTCTTTAGTATTTGATTTTTTAAATAAATGCTTCCTTCTGTCATTATCATCGTTGTCTAAAATTACCTCATCGTCGTCTGTTGCGCAGACCAGAGTGAGGTAGAGCCCACTTGTTGCATCCTCCGGGACGGTGAGCTCAGTGGAGTTCGGGGAAAACACAGGACGGTTGTCATTGATGTCCTTGACCTTCACAGTCAAGGTTGCTGTTGCTGTCATGTCTTCGTTGTCTGACTGGGTAGCCTGAGTGGACAGGGTGGGGGTTGGGGTGGGGGTAGGGCCGAAAAAAAGGCAAATCGCATACAGTGTAAACACTCACACATACACACATACACATATGCAATGCACACTAACGAATGCACACGCACATACACGCGCACACACAAACACACTCACACACACATACAGACACACACGTACACACACACACACACACACTTAAACACACAGACGTACACACACACGTACACACATACAACACGTATACATACACACACCCAGCCTCACACACAAACATCCTTGAAGAGAGGTAGATAAAGAGAGAGAGAGAGAGAGAGAGAGA